TGCCCAACCTTCCTTCCGAGGAGTGGCTGGTGGGTTTGAACCGCCAGCCTTCTGGTAAGCAGTCAAGTGCCTTAGGCACTATGCTACCAGAGCTCCAGATACTAGACTTTATATAACCAATAAACAAAAAGAATCTCTACAGAAAATGTACCTGAGACTTTGTCCCATAGGGAATTGCAGTCTTTTTTCCTGAAAGAGAATGAATCATTCTTGCTTTCATGGGAATACCTTGGGATACAATCTGAAATGAAACCAGAATTAATAACAACAGTTTCTGTAACATGGCATCCTACATATTTTAAAATTAATTTTCAAAAAAAAACCTAAGAGATAATGTTAAGGATCATGGAAGCACCAAACCAAAACCCACTGCTACCTAATTGATTTTGACTCATAGTGACCCTATAGGACAGAGTAGAACTGCCCTACTAGGTTTCCAAAGCTATAAATCTTTACAGAAGCAAATTAACACATCTTTCTCCCATGGAGTGGCTGGTAGGTTGAAACCTCCAACCTTTTGGTTAGCAGCCATGTGCTTTAACCACTCTGCTCCCAGAGCCCCTTCACGGAAGCACAGTACAGTGAAAACTCAATCAATGAAAAATGATCCTGAAAATTAGATGGTGCTTCAAACCAGGGTGAAGTCAAGATCACATGATTATTGAAAAGACATCATGTAAAATCTTTTGTAAGGAAAATACATTAATAGGGTACCTGATCTTCCAGGCCAATAGCTTTCAAGGCTTGTCGTCCTCTATAAGAAAGGGCCAAGTTAATGCTCCTTCCACGTATAAATTTAGCCACCCGGATGTCTAAGACATTGGAAGCAGAATCCATGTTATATATACCTCCTCATATCATAGAACAAGATGAACATATCTACATTGAAGAATTGATACATTCAGAATTAAAAGACCTTGTTAACTCTCCTAAAGTAAATGTGGATAGTATTAAATTTGTATTAAATTAAATTCAAATATCTGCAGATTAAAACACCCTAACAGTTCCTATGTTTTAATTTTTTTATTAAAAATATTTTTTATTCAGAAAATCTAATGACAAAGAGGTCAAAGAATAATAACCACAGTCTGATAATGTTTAGTATTTACTTACCTTCCCTAGCTTCATATACGTCAACTTGGAAATTCCTCTTTGCAAGGAAGCATGCATTTAATGATCCAACCTAAGAATCAAGACAATTTTTTTCAAATTTTATGTGATTACCCAAATAAAGGGAACTTTTTTTTTATGACTGAAAATAAGACATTGTGTGCAGTTGCCTCATTTTTCACATTGATATACTTAGTCACTATTGGAAAGCATCACTTAACAAAAATATTATAACTAATTCAAAATTAAATGGCATAATTTTAGAGGTTGTTTTGGATTTTTCCTCCACTATCTTTTATGATGAGATATTACTTTCACACAGAAAGAGCATAAAACTTAAATATACAGTTTACAGTTAAAACAAAATTCTACAACAAATGCCTACATAACCAACCACTTTGATTATAAATAAATAAATAATAAAAAGAACATCACCAGGCTATTCTAACTTTCTCTCACCTCCACCCTAGTTATAATCCCCTGCATGGTACAAAGGGTTCATGAGTTGAGAGTCAGACTTAAAGATTGGTGGTTTGATTCTACCCAGAAGCACCTCAGAAGAGAGGCCTGGTGACCTCCTTCCAAAAAATCAGTCACTGAAAACCCTGTGGAGTATAATTCTATTCTGAAACACATGGGGTCATCATGAGTTGGAATTAATTGACAGTATCTGTCACCTAGAGTAAATACTATGCTGAATTTTGTGATAACTATATTTTGCTTCTTTATAGAGCTATATGAAGAACTCTTTAATTAGAATCACATTCTATGTATTCCTCTGCATCTTGTTTTTTTAAACTCAAAATTATACTTATGAGATTCATCCATATAACTGCATATAAACTCTAGGTCATTTACTTTCATTATTGTATAGTTTTTCATTGTATGAAAAACATTTGAATTGTTTGTGGTCTGTGAGTATTATTAATAATGCCGAAAAACAATTTTTGAACATGTATCCTGTTACTTACATGCATGATTTTCTCTAGGGTTTTATACATGAAAGTGTAATCACTGGTCAAATGTTTATGTATCCTCCCATTTACTGTGCTAAATTGTTTCAAAAGTTTGTACTAATCTGCTTTCCTATTAGCAGCTTGTAAGAATTCAAGTTGCCAGGACTTGGTGTTCTCAGACTTTTCCATTTGGGGAGTGTGTGTTCTAGGTGTGTATGTGGTTTTAATTTGTATACCCCTGATTACTAAAGAAGTTGAATATTTTTCATATATTTACTGGCTATTAGAATCTCCTCTTTTGTAAAGTGCCTGTATAAGACTTTTGTTCATTTTCTATTGGACTGGGTTTGTTTTATTTTTTACGTTTTTCCCCTATTGATTGTTTTTAGGGAGCTCTGGTAGCATAGTGCCTAAGGCACTTGACTGCTAACCAGAAGACTGGTGGTTCAAACCCACCAGCCACTCCTCAAAAGGAAGGTTGGGCAATTTACTTCCATAGTGATACCGCCTTGGAAACCCAGGAGGGGTTGCTATGAATGAGGTCCAACTCCACAGTACATAACAACAACAACATTGATTGTTTTTAGTTATTTATGAATTAAGAACACAGGGTCTTTGTCATAATTAAATGTTGCAAATATCTTCTTTCCGTTTATGGTTTACTTTTTCAACAATGATTTTTAATCATATTTAACAATTTTTTACTTCATTGTTAATGCTTTTGGTGTCTTCTTTAAGGAATCTTTCCTTTTTCCTTTTCACATATCTCTGGTCATTTCTTCTATTTATCTTTTGAAAATTATTTTGTCTATTGTTTTTCCCAATCTTTATAGTGTTTTCTTCATAGTAGCTTTATGTATATTGCATGGTTTATTTTCTGCCTCATCACTAGTGTTCTGGTTACCTAGTGCCACTCTGCCAGGAATACACCACAAATGGGATGGCTTGAAAAAATAGTTTAATCTCTTACAGTTCAGGAGGCTAGAAGTCCAAGTTCAAATTGCCAGGCTCCAGAGGCTGGATCATAGTTGTAAGTCTACCTTTTCTGGTGATTCTGCAATCAACATTTGTCTACACAATTAGGCTGCAAACAGATTTGCTTAGCATTTTATCCCTAGCTCCTACCATTATGCTTGCAACATAGTAGGTATCTGATAAATATTTGTTGGATGCACAAATACATGGTAGAGATTTTATTTTATTTTATTTTTATTAGGATTTGGGTGAAGATTTACAGAGTAAATTCACTTTTCATACAGCAGTTCACATGTACTTTGTCTCATGTCATTGACCAAAATTTACAATGCAGCAGCTCCCATCCCACTTCCTCCCCATAGTTACCTCCTCCTAGTGTCCATCCCTTCATACTCTTCTGCACCCTGAGCTATCTCCCTGT